ACACTGACCTGGAACTCACTATGTAGCCCAGGCTGGTCTTGAATTCACAGCAATTCTCCTGCCTCAGCCTCCCAAGTACTGGGATTACGGGTGTGCGCCACCTGCCCAGCTTCCCATCCCCTTTAAATTTTTACTTTGCTAAGTCACTAAGTCTTTTTTCCTTTTTTCAGAATAGCCAGAAATCAGAACTTTTCTATATGTGCAAGTTTTAAATAGTAGTAACAAATTAATTCTTCACCACTGAAAACTCCAAAGAAAACAAATACAGAAAAAATATGTAGCATTTGAAGTAAACTATTTACATAATCATACTTGTTTTATGTTTTCATTATTGAACTAACAAAACTGTGATATAACTATATTGGGAGAATGGAGGGGTGGGTGGATGTAAGAGAATGAAATCTTCATCTTCTATAATAAGAAGTCAACTGATCATGTCTCATTAGTGCCTCGTGGCAGAAGAAAGAAGACCAAAGTGAGCAGTTACTAAATCTGAGGGTGGCTGGGAAGATTGTGGAGGGGTAAAGAGAGAGAAGACCTGGGTTTTCATGAGCTTTTCAATATTACTTGATTTTTAAATGCTGTCCATGTAACATTTTGATAAAATCAAAGCCCTAAGAAAGGCAGCTGGTCCAATTTCTCCCTTAAAAAAAAAGTTCAACCCAACGAAACACAAAAATAAAGATGGTCACTCTGGAGATTAAGTGTTGAAAAGGATGGGAAGAGGATCAGGGGATGGGGGAGTCAGGAAGGGAGAGGAAGAAGCAAAAAGGATCAGTGTTCAATATGTACACATATCAACCCCCCACCATGAATGTGTTCATGTATCACAAACACATACTAATAAAAAGGTTTTTAGAAAGAACAGCTTCTAAATTCCACTACAAAATATACTAATTAAAATATACTGATTAAATGCCTAGCTTCATTAAAGACTCATGTGCCAATGAATCTATCAGATTGATAGCAAAACCATACCAAGGAAACTTAAGAAGTAATCCAAGGAACTTTTGAACACAGTATCTGAGAGAACAGAAAAAAATCTTGACCCTTTAAAAGGTTTGATTTTTCTCCCTTATTTGTTATCCTGGTCCAGTACTAG